TACTTTTACAATAAATATTTTTTGAATTGCATATGATTAAATACTTTAATCTTATTACTCTAATTTAAATTGACATTTGCCCCTTTGCCACAAAACCTTTTTTTTTTGAATTTCCGTTTCTCTAAAAATGACCCCATATCTTCAGGTCTGTCCAAGATTTAAACCTATTTAATTACATAGAAATTTTAAAAATATGTATACTTTCTAATATCTTATTAAATTTGAAAATTTTAAAAATTAATAAATTTCAACACTATTATCCATATTTCCCGATAAAGTTATTGACTAAACTATTAAATTACTATATGTTAAAGTTATATAAAAGATACAGTTTTTTAATAATTAGTTAAAAAAATATATTTAAAAATCAACTTTTATTTAATAAATACAAATAACTAACTAATGTAGTTTTTAGATAAAGAAGGATGCATATCCCTTAACCCATATATTTGTCGTATAGTCGGTCTGTTATTACAACGGATATTATTAACAATTCTTATAGAACTTTGGGCGAGGAGTCAGAATATGTAATTTATAATGTCCTGTGACCTCGGGTTCGGCCGCAGTGACCACTTTTATCGGGAAAATTTTCATAATAAACATGCCCATGTGATATATCAATTCAATAGAGATTTTAACAGAGAATACGGTGGTGTATGTAAAAATTCTATAAACTAGCAATACTGAAAATAATGTTGAAATTGTTGCAAAAAATGTAACAAATCGATTTTTCTTTTAAATATTTAAAACCCCATCCCCAATCAGATCTACTCCACACCAAAAACAACCCCAGAAACCGACCTCCTCCACCAACACCCCACCCCCCAAATCCGACCTCCACCAAATGCCGCCGACGATGTACCTACTCTTGTCCCTCCAATTCCATGCAGACATCATTTAGATATTCTGCGGGAATTGAGATCTCGGGTAGATGTCTTTCATACCCGAGATACCACAGAATATCACTATTTCTAGCGAGATAAGCCCACTCTCCTCTCTCCAAATGCTCATCGCAACAACCAGCATCTGGAGGGATGTAGAGGCGATGGGAGATAAGGACTTTAAATCGGTCTCTTACTGGGATAGAGAGAAGTGGTCAAGCTTTTCCCCAAACACAATTTTTAGTTGTGTTTGGGAGTCTGGGAATAGCCAACTCTATATTCCCGGATTCGGGTTTGTAGATTTGACTACTCCCAGACGGCTTCACCACTTTGCTCCCAGCAAAAGACCTGCGACAAGTATCGCAAATATTCATAAGTTCGAGGGAAACGTCGGCGCTATTTGGAGTATGAGAAATACCCATTTTCTCCAAAAAGTGCCGGCGTTTCTCTCGAACAAATGTCCGGAGTTCCGCCTTTTCTTCCCCACATAGGGAGTAACGGGGGGTGTTTCCTTGCTTCCCTCCACATCCGGGACAAGACCATTTAAGTTCTCGTCCCGGTTGTGAAGTTCCGTCCAGGTCCATTCCACGGGTTATGGCCTGATCATTGGATTCGACACCCATGGAAGGCCGAATTCGACGCTGGTCTCCTCCTGAGACAGGAGGCATCCCAGTAGAGGTTTGAGGATCCACTAGAGCCCTGGGGTCCAGCTCTGAGTGGTCCTTTTCAAATTGAGGGTTTGATGCCATAGTAGTCATAAAACCAGGATTTTAAAAATGTAATGAAGTTAACCATTATAATTTTTTATATTCTAACTTAACAGATTATGATAAATTGTTAATAAATTATTATTATTCTTACAATAATTACGTCAATTTTACCAAAAAAACGTTATTTAAATAAAACGTTATAAAATTTAGCATTCTTTAATTTTATTAAATAAATAATAACTTAGGTGAATTCCCCATATTCGAATTAGTCAGAAAAATAATTTCATTGTTAAAATCTATTAAGATTTAAGAAAATAAAGCACCTATTTTAACTTTTTAATATCCCTCTAGCGGCAAAACCCTACGATGAATGTTGCTAATTTTTACATATATTATATATTTTAATGTCCTCTACAAGATTATCTAATAAAATTGACCGGGCGAGCTGGTTAATTATCCCATAGACACGCAGGCATCCTCCTTTAATTAACATTTCACGAGCTTGTTCATTACAATACTTTATGAATAATTAAAAGTTCATTAATAAAATAGGATTTTTAAAATTACATTTACAGTTTATAAAAACTTTTTATAATCAAAATAACAAGTTACATTGTTTATTTTGAAGCATGTGTACAACATGTTAAAGTCTTTGAAAATATCCGAAATAGTTTGTGATCATTTTTGTTTGAATAATTGTGTCTGCCAATTTATTGAATAACTCCCACTTATAAGTATTGTGTATTTCACTAATGTATTCACCTTGACATTTGTATGCAGGATTAGATTACTGTTATATTTTTAAGAAAAAATGCTCATGTATAATATATGTTATTTTGATCTTTATGCAAATGTATATTTATAAAAATTATTAAATATGTTACCTTTTAAGTAATAACATTAAATACCAAATATTAAAATAAATTTATTTATTAGTTTTAAATTTAAATTCAATTTTAAATGTTATTAGTTTTAGTAGAACTATTATTTAAGATAGTCCTAAGCTAACTTATCCAAATGTCCAAGCTAAACTTAAATAAAATTTAATGATAAATAGACGCCATAATATTCTGAAAGAACTTAGCCCAGGTGTTACTTGTTGGCTCATTCATTATTTCGGGACCCAGTTTTATTTTCAATTCATCCAGGATAATATCTCGAAATTTGCCCAACATTTCACTTGTGACCTTACTTGTATGGTGGCACCCTGACCATTTAGCAAGGTGCTTTCTGGCTTCACTCTTTTCATTCTCGATATAGTTGTTTATGAGTCCCGATATGAATAGGAAGTCCACTTCGGAACTACGTTTAACTTCCGGATTATCCCGGAGTTTACCCACTATTTTCGGAAACCACGCCCTGTATGTGGGATTTTCATCGAGTAGCCTGCTCATTATAAAATAAATTACCAATTGTAATAATAATTTTAAATATATTTTTATACTATAATGTTTTTAAATGAACTTTTAAAGTTATAATGATTTAGTATTATTGAAAAACTGTATTCTTATTGATATAATTAAATTTATTATTACATTTAAAATTTATTTTATTTATTGGTTATAGTTTTAAAAAATTTGTTTAATTTAAAATAATTAAAATTTACAATTACCTTATAAGTGCGTCGCTCCCATTAGTATCCATATCGCTAATATAAATGTCCCAGGTTCTCCGTAGGACAGCCAGTTCATCACCACTCATTTTAGACATATTTAATTAAATTAAGCTTTGACAAATATATTTTAATAATATTATAAAATTATTTAATATTGCACTTAAAATCTAAAAACGTCTATTTATATGTAATATAATAAATGACTATTCATTACGCAATAGCAAGTAGAAAATATAATAAATTCATTCATATTTTCTAGTTTATAAACAAGCTTATCACATTTTTGAATTTATCAGTTCTCGTACCTAACTCGCACTAATATCTATGAACATCAAAGGTAATGTCAATAGTTTACATATTGTCAATATAATTTTGTGAAATTACCAAAATAAAATATTTTTATTAAACCATACATAAGTATACAAAAATTATTTTTGTAACATCAATAGTTAAAAAGTTATTCGCGTTTAGAAATGCAAGAATTTCTTCAATTTTCAGACCAACTTTCCTGCTATTTTTTCAACTTTGCACTAACCCACTAGATCAATTCCCCATCGAAAAATAAAATGTCAAATTTTTAAATCTATCAATTACGTCATGCCATAACTTCATTATTTATGGCCAGAAAAATCTAAAAATATGATTTTTAGCATCAGCAGTAAAAATACTTTAATCTAAAATTATTTCCATCCATAAATAACGAATTATTGTCATGACGTAATTTATGGGTTCAAACATGATAAAATTATTTTTCAAAGGTGAATCGATCTAGGGTATAAGTTCAAGTTTTGAAAAATAGTGCATGTCATAATTTTTATTATTGCAAAAATCACCTTATTACCCCAAGAGACTCAAATGTTTCTCTTCACTAACTTAAAGTAGAGTAATTGAGGTATTAAAATAACTTTTCATACTATTGAGTCTCGAAGGGTAACACCATTGAATTCATGTTTATATTTTTAAAACATCATTTTCTGGTATAAGTTTAATATTTTTAAAAATATTTTTGTATAGAATTAACAAGGCTTATATGTATAAATAATTAAGTGAAGAAACTAATTAAAAATATAATGTGGTTTTCTTTTTATTTAGGTTTGAAATATAAGGATAAAAGCAAGTCTAACTCATTAATCGTTACAGTTAGAATAATAATTTTTTCATTATTTTCCATTAAAAACTCAATATATTTTTATTGTAATACTAAAAATTATTAATTTAGACATAAGTTATCGAGTTTGACATCATCTTTGATATTGGGTATATCTATTAAAAATATATAAAACATATTTGATTTTATATGAAAATAAAATTATATCACCAGCAATAATGTAAAATTATAAATTGTGATACAATTTACGGGGAAAATACAATTTTTTATTTTATTATATATATTAGAATAATTTCAAAATTTTATTATGTCACTCAAACAGCTTAATTACATGTTAAATTATGCTAGGCTAGGTGTAGATTAAAATGTTCTTATATTTAAATTATGTTTTGTATTTGTTGGTAAAACTGTATAATTTTAATTATATTAGATTCTAATATTATTCTTAAATTAATTGATGATAATTTTGGCACAAAACCACAGGGTTAAATGAATTTTAAATGTTTCGTATTTATTTTTATAATATAATAATAACTTTTATAATATAAAATACAATTTATATTTCATTATACAATTAAATTATTTTCATTATGCTTTGGGCCAACACAAGGCATTAAAATTATTTATATTTTTGTATTTACAGCAAATTAACTTACAGTTTTAGTCGTTTAAACAATGTTAATGAAATTATTATGTGATGTTTATGTAAAACTGTAATGTAATAATTTTTATTTGTTTCAGAAACATTACTAAATTGTTAATATTTCTAAAGGTTATTGTACGATTATCTCAAGATTATAATTAATTAATTTTTAAATTGTATTAAACTGTAATAAACTTAATTTTAGTAACTCAAATTTATCCAAAAATCTATATAGCGACTAATATGGACTACTAATGTGCTCATATTTTAATTCACCGCGTTATATTTAATTTATTAGTTAAACTATACTAGCTCAGCCGGTAGAACATCTAGTTCAGTGGTTCTGGGTACAATTTCTAACTGTTATCTGATACAATACCCCTTTCCCAAACCTACCCGTCCAAAAATCCAACCATTATATCAATAGATTCAGTATTCGTGTATTTACAACACGTCTCACGGGTACTGTATTTTAGATTTTAAGGTAATTTTAAAATTTTATTATGTCAGAGATAATAATTGCATCTTGCAAGTCAGATATTTATATGTTAGATTATTATAGGTTAGGTTTAATTAAAAACTCTCTTATAAATTATATTTTAATTAAGTTGTGTATTTGTGTTAAAACTGTATTATTGTAATTATATTTAATTCTAATATTATTCTAAAATCAATTGATGGTAATTTTGGTACCTAACACTTGGGAAAAACTAATTTACATTGTTTTTATTTATTATAATTATATAATATAATAATAACTGTAATTATTTAATAAAATTTATATTCCATTATACAATCATTACATTCATTATTTACATTCATCATGAATTGGTGAACAAATAAAGTATGTATATTTATATTTTTGAATTAACAGCACATTATTTCTTTTTTTAATTGACAATAGTTTATTTGTTTTAGTTAAATATCATTATTATTACGAATAAAATAATGTGTGATGTTAACAACCCAAACATTTTATTAATATTTAAACAAATATTGTAATTGACATTTACAGTAACTAATAACATATCATTTGATTATAATTATATCTTTTGTAATAAATTTTATAACCAATACATTTATTAACTTAATTTAAAAAGCTACATAATTTATATTTAAATATTTTGAGTCTAGATAAAATTTTAATATTAAATACAAACAATTTAATCCACATTTTAAAAATAAGTTTATAAATGTAAATAAAAACCAAACACTATAACAATTAAGTTTAATTTAATTTTCATTTTGTAGCATTCACAATATTTATAATTATATTTTTGCCTAACACCACATAAATGTGCTAGTATAAAATCCACTACATTAATGATAAATAGACGCCATAACAGTCTCAAAGAATTTAGCCCAGGTGCTATTAGTTGCCTCATCCATAACTTCGGGACCCAATTTTATTTTCAATTCATCCAGGAGCACATCCCGAAATTTGCCCAACATTTCAGCCGTCACATTATTCTTATGGTGGCACCCTGACCATTTAGCAAGATTCTTTCTGGCCTCACCCTTATCCTGTTCGATATAGTTGTCTATGAGTCCCGATATGAATAGGAAGTCACTTTCAGCGTTCCGTATGACCGCCGGGTTATCCCGGAGTTCGCCCACCATTTTCGGGAACCACGCCCGGAATGTGGGGTTCTCGTCGAATAGCCTTGGTTATTTAGTAAAAATATATTATTGTTATTTGATTTTAATAGACAATATTTTAAATTATACAACTATTTTAGTTTTATTCATTAAAATAATGTTAATGAAATAAATATGTGAAATATGTGTGAAACTGTAATATAATAATTTCTATTTGTTTAGATGTGTTATTAAATTGTTAATGTTAATAAAGGTTTTTGAAACATAATACTATTTGTTTTAAATTTATTTCGTAGGTTTAAAATTATTATTTTATTTGTATAAGATTTGTTTAACATTATAATTAATTGTTTTTAAAAATTGCATTCAACTGTAATTAAGTTAATTTTAGCAATTCAAATTTATCCAAAAATCTCTATATTGTTTTATGGAAAGTAGTCATACCATATTTTAATTCATCACAGTATATTTAATTTATTATTTAAATTATTTTAATATAATAAAAATTAATTTAAATTTTATTGAATACAAATTTACTGTTCATATAGTAATTAACTGACAAAACACTTGCCAATAAGATCAATGTAACTAACAATTTTTAAAAATTATTTTTTATTATAGGTTAAAAACAAGTAATACTTTATTATTATAGCTTACATAAAACTATTTTATTTACATAATTTTTCAAAGTGAAAAATTTTACTATTTGCATACGTAAACGTGTATATTTAAAAATTAAACTATTGTAAAGTCTGATAGCTATATTATTAATAACAGGTAATAGGCAATTTTTGTAGCATAAATAAATAAGTATTAGCTGCTGTTTTACATACAATTTTTCTAACAAACTAAATACAAATACAAGATTTTAATATAAATAAAATAAAATATTATTAAAATTACCAACCTAATAAATGCATCGCACCCATTAGTAGCCATATCAGTAATATAAATGTCCCAGGTCTTTCTCAAGACAGCCAGTTCATCACCACTCATTTTCGACATAATTACTATTAATTATTAT